CCACAGGTGGGCAATACGACCAGACGGAATCAATGGCGAATTATTCGTCCCTCCATGCGCGCAACCCCAATCGCCGATAACTGCTGGGGACCACTTGCCGGAGTGCAGACGTTCGCCTAATTGAGTGGCTGAGCCATCGCGCCGAAGTACGGCGACGCGTCCAGGGTCATCCGCGGACGAGCGCTGATGAGGTCTAGGCTCGACATCATTGCGATTTAGGATGGGAGGGGGCGAGGCAAACCGTCGTCAGACAGGGACTATTTTGACAACGAATAAAACTCAGCCGCCAGCTCGGTCGGCGAGAGTTGATTCCGCTCGACTCACCTTGTTGAGTTGATGGTTCGCTGTGGAGAACGTTCCCGTAAACGAGTTCGACTGAACGAGCCTTGTAAATCCGGAGCGAAGATGAAATTTAAGTTCAGCGACATCGTGGCCAAGAAGCGTTTTCTCGTCAGCCTTGGGAATTGAACACACTACGCAGCTGGAATCACTCTCTTCGATGTTTCTATTGCACGAGGACTGACGTCGTTCCTGTTTGCAGGAGAACTTTTCTCTCGACTCTAGGACGCTTGTTCCGTTTTGGCTTTTTTTTTCGTTGTCCTCAGCGAGCGACGACTTTTTCGTATCGATTAGACGTGGGAGCAGTCACTTACTTACAGAGTCGAACTTATCGGATCCTTGCTGGGGACAGAGACGACCACACATTCCGTGCACACTGTTCTAGCCGGGTCACACCGCACAAGCTAATCACGAATCAAGGGGAAAAATCACAGGATCGATCCAATTCCACACATTAGACGATCGATCGAACCACCAGTCGTCCACCCACCAGTCGACCTTTCTGACTGCAGCCCCCCACCCGATCGACACCAGGCGAGCAATCAGACGAGTCGAACCTCAAGCGATCGACATGCCGGGGACCGAGAATGTTCTTCCTGATGCTCGACGTGCGACTTTCTAACGATATCGGAACGATCCCTCTCTTGGGGGAAACGGCAGAAACGGCCCGACGCCGTGGCTCACAGCCGGGACCTCACTTTATCGGTGAGATTTACACAAATATCGCGAAGGCGCACGGGAGCGTCGCCCATCGCCGACTAACTGATCGGCGCGAGGATAATACGTTCGAATTGAAGCCACCTCTGAAACTGCTGCTCCTGATGCTCTAATTGCTCGTGGTGCTCTCCTTGTCGCTTCTCCAACTGTTGCTGGTATCGTGCCTGTCGTCGTTGTTGTCGTCGGTTTTTTGTCTTTGCTGCTTCTGCCGCACTTGTTGGACTTCTCGCCGAACGTCAGAGAGCCGCCCGCGATGACAACGTTCACTGGTCGAACTAGAGGAATAAAGTCGATTCGATGAATGATGACTGCCTTTGAATAGGAGAAACTCCGTAAACTGGGTTGCCATTGGCGGGCTGGCTGGCTGTCCATACGCTCACATACTAACTGGAGCTGCCCGCCGCCGTGCCTCGCTCTCTCTCTAGGCTGAGAAGGACTCACAGGTGGTCGCGCATGCGCACGCGCACCCTTTCCCGATCTCTTTCCTTGGCTTTCCTCGCAAGCTCGCTCGCTCACTCGTTTGCTGGATGGCTATGCCGCCGACTCTCCCCCATACGCCGCCCATCTCCCCCTCCCCCAGTTCGTGGGTCTTGCCGCACACGATGTTGTCCTGGCAACCAGTGGTCCCGACGGTTCGAGAAACGTCCTCTGCCCCGATGCCAACAAGGAACAAAAGGGAGTTTTTTTTTCTTTTGCGCTCGATATAATTCACCCATTGCGTGATGGGCGCGGAAAGGGGCGCCCGCCCGTGCGTCGCTCAAAGTCAGCTTAACGGAGCCGCTCGGTTGCTCGAACGATACTGCACCGCTACCGAACCGGAACGTCTCACTTGGAACGAGGCCGCTCGTGGAAACGTTCAAGAACCCTCGCGAGGCCGGGGTTCAGCAACAGGTCCCCGGTCCGTACCGGTGACACCGTAAGCCTCTCTCTCACGGCGAAACTCCTCATGGCGAGCGTCTTCATGATTCATCACTTGTTGATTCTTTGAAGCTCTCACAGGGAAAAACATTGAAACGCGCTGATTTCCTTTCCATCTTCCTGATTCTCTCCCTCTGCTTGGTGCTCCTCAGTCGAATACTCTCGCCGACTCGTGTTGCTGGGCCGAGGTAGGACGGTGTCAATTCCAAAGATACCTGGCGGGTTTTCCGGAGCGACTCGCTCTCCTTTATTCCTCCTACTCGACCCTATTCCCCTCTCCTCTCGGCCCCCGCCTCCCGTGTGTATTACGAGGCCGAGTATTTCAGAGCAGCAGAGGATATTCAATGAGCCCGGATGAGCTAAAAAGATGTTGAGCCGCGGGCTCACTGGAGAGGTCAGTGGCTGGCCGGTGCCGCCGCCTGCCGCCGCCTGACAAGCCGTCGATAGCCTCTCTCACAGGCTGCGATTATCCGGCCGAACCGTCTCCCCACGCGGAAGGACTTGTGAGCTCGTAGTCATTTCGAGCCATGCACTAAAAATACCCCGCTGGCGGAGAGATATGGACCGGCTTAGGGAATATTGAAACCCAAACACGATTACCGCATCTGTCTCCCCTACTTCGCCCTCGATACTCCACACAATCTTCGGATCGTCTTCTTCTCTATTTGCCGATGCGCAATGGGGAACAGGTGCTTGAGTGACGATTTAAGAGAGCGGGGAATGAATCCAGAGGCGAAGAAGTGAGCGAGCCGAACGAACATTATAAACTCTGACTGTAACTCCTGCCAGGATCCTCCTGACGAGTATTCCGGCTCCTCGCGGCGGAGTCATCATCGCATCCGTTGCCGCTCTCACAATCGAATCGGTCGACCCTCTCAGATTGAACAAGGAGCTCAGACTGGGTTCGTTGAACACTTGCTGGCTGACATAAGCCGGGGCTTCAGTGTCGATGGCATGCTCCCTCTGTACTGCTCCCAATTGGAGCCGGTGCGGCGGTAGTGTCGCGTGTGATGCTCCCGCGAATTTCCCAAGAGCACCTTGCTTCTCGTCGGGCGTCGCAACCTCTCTCAGCCGCTTCCCCATTATCCTCCTTCCGCATGTGCTCCTCGAGGCTGCTTTCTCTTCGAGCCCCAGAGCTCCCTCTCCCGGATTCAGCCACGAGGCAGAGTTACAACGATGAGAGCAGCGACAACAACAACGAGAGCAGCGGCGACTAGGAATGTGATCTATTGGATCGGCCGAAACGGACCGTCTGAAGCAGCGGTTCCTGATTTCTATTCGGCGCGGGACGCCCTCCAAAGTCCTCGACTGGGCTCGGGACCCCATTGCGATGTCATTCGGAAAATACTAGTCGGTGGCTCGGCCGGACGAAACAATTTTCCTGTCTCCCATTCAATGAGCCCTCTCAGTGTAGTAAGAAATTCCAGCGCAGTCGGGCTGGTCGATGGTTGTGCAAGCTATACCGAATATTTTTTCCCATATGATAACATGGCTGGATTTCACCGACCTCCGGGAGCCCCGAGAACGGTATCCGGGACCCCCAAAGAACTCCAGACCCCTTCCCGGGAACCCTTGGTCTGGAGCGTCCACCGATGAAATTCCAGAAGACCACGGAGTGAGAGTCGAAAGTGTACGGAGGTGAATAGTCAAATGTACGACTACGCGAAGCGAGCTGTTTACTGATGGTCTGGTTCTGGAATCGTGTCACCCTCGTTATCGGAGCTGAGGTTTTGATCTGCTGGGAATGGAAACAGATCATCCAAATCAAATGAAGACTGATTGATGAATCCGAGAGGAAATATCGAATCCGATGAAATGGCTCTGTCCAGAAAGGCGACAACGGTGAAAAAAAACCCATCCTGTTCCAGGCAAGGATCACTATGTTTGGTCCCCAGTCTCCTCCTAACATGAGATTTAGGAAGCAATTTCCCCTGAGTGCGCTCCGCCTTCTTCCAGCGCCATCTGTCGGTGTTCCAAGGTACTTGAAGGAGCTCGGCCCACTCGGCTCCGCTACCGGAACTCCGACGAATTCATGCCTGATCGATCTCGACGTTGCGAAGCTGTCTTTCACCGAGGCTTCTCACCCATGGAAGCGATTATTCAAATCCCGTTTCATCTTTCCGCTACCCTGCCACACCTGCTCTCTCGATCGGGTCAGCTCTGCAGAACTCGCTAGTGAGCGGATACGGCCCTCAAAGTGCATCTCTACGGCTTTCTTCTGAGTGTCTCCAAAAGCTTATCTGGCACACTCACGAATCGATTATCGACTTTCTCGTAAGCTTCCCTGCAGATACCCGACGCTTGTGAAGACGAATGCGAATTCTCGGACTCGCGACAACCCATGCCCGCAATGCTCATATCGAGTGCTCAGACTCCCAAGCCTCGAGTTCTTCCGCAAGTTTCGTGGGTCGTCTGTGATCAGAATCGCTAAACATGATCTAACTTTTTCGGGCTGGACCCTACAGCCAAGGTGTAACGTCCCGGGTACTCTCATTAACATTGCTTCCGTTTTTGATAAGAAAAATCGTGAAGAAACTCTGGCCCCGCGGTACCAGTACTAATTCCACGAAAATGTCTGGGAAGCAAGAATGAATCATGCCGATTTCGCTGACCGTTGATGTGTTTCCGCTGGGTGACGTCCCGGAGCGCACCTTCAATAAAGATCATGCGTCGCCCGGGGATGGTCCCCTGACTACTCATATCCTCTCACTTCGGATGTGGTAATTAGTCATTTGGGTTCTCAATCGGTTCCGGAAGTGAAAATCATCCCTTCGATAATTGTAATTGACCTGCCAAACTGCAAGCAACTACATGGATGCGCAAGTCCACCGACATTCGAAAGCAGGGCCTACGGGTCCTTTGTACAGAGTCTATCTAATTTATTGCATCAATTCGTTGGTGTATCTACAAGTTGTGTATGTAACGGCACCAGTGAGGGCCAATAAATAATGTTGTTCTGAGTAGCCAGTCCACGGAGAAATTCTTCGCGTCATCCTCGCTCAATTATCATCTTCATTGTCGGTGAGTCAATCGTGCCTGGTGACCGGAGCGTACGTCCAAGCCCCTTTGGGTCTCCTGAAGCCATGCTGCTCCTCATCCCGTCGGGGGTTCTCGTCCTGCAGGTCGACTTTCAGATTGTCCCACGCCCTTTTGTAGTTCTTGTGGAGCACCTGATGGATTAAAGCTCTACTTCAAGCAATTACTCCAATAGAAAGCGATCGATAAGAATTGTCTTCTAGAGAATGTTCGCTCCTGAGATGCCAGTACTTACCGCGGAGTCATCAGCCCCTGTACTGACGGTATCGGTCTCGTCCGGACAGTAAACCGGCGAAATGCGGTGCGACGGTGGGAAGGGAGGGTGTGCCGTGAATAGGTCTGGATGGCCCCCGTAGATATGGTCCAAGTTCCGCGCTACAGTTGTCTTGCGAGAACCTTTTGGACTTCTGCGAATTTTCAAAATCGGGTTTTAGCGGATCGGGGCAAGGGAGGCGGCAGCGAGGACTGACGAGCTTGAAGACGTGTTCGCCGTGCGCTCCACCGTACGAGGGAAAAGTCACGAATTTCTTCAGCTGTCTTAACTTTATTTCTCTCGCTGAAATTTTCTGATAAACAGAGATCCTTTCAAACAATATGAGGCAATCCAGTGCTTGGGGAAAAAAATTCTCGCGATTACGCGAGGAAGGCTGAGCTCTCGGGATCGGATTTGCCCCTCGTCTCTCGTCTACGTACTTTTAAATATACACAAACAATCGTCGCTGCTCCTCGCCTCGCCGTTTTCTATCTAAACTCGATTCACCAAGATATCCCTTCGGCGATTACCTAAATTGTTTAAATAGACTTTGTCTGTGACGCCGTGGGGCCATTACTGTGAGATTTGTTCCGTTTCCGATCGGAAACGGGCCCACGAGGATCTTTGAATGACCAAACTTCCAGATAGAAAGACGGTTTCCGATTTGCCTTGTTTTCCACCCTCACGTAAGCGTTTTGTCTATCGATTGCAGCTCAGTCTGTTCCGGTGCCGACGTCACGATTTTCCTGAGTGACTGCGAGGTTGAGTTGCCTCTCCGGCCGATATGCGGGCTCCCGGCGGTCTCTGACACGACCGTATGTCGGAGTGAGCTCGTGCCGCAGGGATGTTCGTCAAACGAGCGATCGACTCACTGACTGAATGAAGGAGTGAGTGGGTGGGTGGGTGTGTGAGCGAGTTGGAGGGGTCCCTCTGTGTTCATTTGTTGGTCCGTGTGTTTCGCGAAATTATGGGAAACGTCTAGCAGACCATTATAGACCTCCTTCCGGAGGGACGTATTCAGCGTTCAACGGATCCGGAGATAGAACACTGTCGATGCAGCGAAGCGGAGGCCTCCAGTCTGCAACAGCATCCAACGTGCAAAACTTAACAATGGGTTTGACTATGATATTTGGTGATGTCGTTCGAGCTGGATCGTAGGTTTCGATCGCCAATGACTACATGAATTTCACCGAGCTGGTAGCTGACCATCACTGGACGCCGCGTTACTTGCAACTGGAAGAGAGACACAGTTTGAGCTCGTTGTGGTTATTAGGAAAAGAAAAGGAGGAAAACCGACACCATCCTAACTCAAGACATCAAATAATATTCAATATGTTCATTGACCTCCAGAGGATCCCGCAAAGCGAAAGATGACCACCGAGTCAATATAGAAATGAACGCTATCGATCAGGGTATCGGTCATCCAGGAAGAGAAACGGTCGATCGACTCATGCAGCAGGCCAGTCAGGCGGTCGAAGCCTCCGTTTTCCCCGAATGAAACTTATACGCACTAAGTGTGTCAGACGAATACTAAACGGGCGGGGGGACACTTTTTATGCACAGACATATAGTTTGATTCAATGCACGGCAAACAAGACCACAGAAACACATACGCACATTCCCGAGCCAATCGAAACGTGAGAATGAGGGAAAAACCGAACCCAAGGAGCAAACCGAGAGCAGAAAGTATGTAGAACCAGAAGCCAAGTAATTGAGCCGCTCTGCTCTCCACATGTCTTGTTCCCCATTCATTATTTCCCCGTACAGGGAGGTCAGAGTCTCGCTAATTCGGTTTTCTCTTACCTGTGTTCGTAGACAATTTGGTGACAGAACAAAATCAAAAGTGTTTCGCCTCGAAAGACTTTTGCTCACGTTATAGTTGACACAGTTTATCTTGCACACATTCACACGCACGCACACAGATTTTCTCTCCTCGTCGTCTCCTCCTGCTTCCTCGCTCTCTCGCTTGTGTTTAGTGTTTGTTCATAGTTTAGGCTCGGGGATTAGGTGAACGAGAGGTGTCGGCGAGATCTCTCTGTTATGTGGGCTCTACGCGCTTTCAGTCATAGGTGATACTTCTTCGTCTCCTCCAAACATTCGCAAACGGCTTTCGTGTTGACAGTATACCGAGCATCCTCTCGTTCGTCAGAAACACGGATTTTTTTTCTGAAACTTCTACACCAACAATAGTTTGTCAATGACTTGTCCCGGTGAAAGCTCCCGCTGCTAGAGCTATCGGTTCGCACCGCCATTCTCAACGCCCCATTTTTTGCTCCAATGAATTTTTCACCGCATCGAACCGGTGAGCGATGCATTCGGTGCTCTACCGGAGCACGTATCGCTTGATTAGAGGGAAAGACCTAAGAGCAATGTCCCGAGTCGGATGTTTACCTTCGAACAATCAGGACGATGATCGTGATGATGGCCGAGAGAACCACGAAGCCTCCGAACACGCCCAGAGCGATGAAGCCTCCTGAGAAAGAATCGAGTGAGGAACTTAGTTAGCAACCTGCTACCGCGATCACAACGGTCGCCGACGGCATCAAGACGAGAGAGGATATGTTTGGTGTCACGTAGCCCACGTATCAGTCCGGGGACGCAAGAATCATCTTCCTTTCTGGTATCAGAAACAGAAACCCGAACGTGGACGACGGGCTAGCCGCTTGGAACTCAAAAATGAAAATTGTCAAAAAACAAATTTCCCCTCCCCGGTTTCGTACTCACCCATATTCAAGCGAGCGGATGCCGAAGGAGCCTGGCTGACGTGGATAGTTCGGGAATCCTCGGCGTGGAGGATCTCATTTTCCAGATTGGGATCGCTCGTGGTAGGAAGTCGCGCCAGAGTAGGTTTGCGATGGCGCGGAAGGATCGAAGGAGGTCTCGGTCGTGGTCGAGCCGTCTGGATCGGCTTCTGGTACACGGTGGTTGGCGGCGTGGTCGAAGTTGTGGTCGACGTCGTTGAGTACTCGGTCGGGAAGTGAGGCGGGAATCTGTTGAACGTCGCGGTCGAGTGGAAAATGCCGTTGGACGGCTCGAAATCTGGATGAATCCTCACGGTGGTCGACGGGGCCGCTGTCGGAGCTTCAGTCGGCGCTTCGGTTTCAGGTGCGACCGTGGGTGGGATCGTGACAACTCGTCGGATACAGCGAGGATGGACTCCACCTTCCCAATAGCCGTCGGCCCCGCACTTCAGTCTCGAGGCTGTTCCCTCTTCCAGATCGTAACCTTTATCGCAGACGTAGTCCGCGGTCGTTCCGAATATTTGCGACAAGGATGATAAATGGAAGCGTCCGTTCTCCAAGTGCGGTGGTTCTTGACACACGATCGCTGAGGAATTAATTAATAATCAAGTCTTATCACCTAGCATCTGGATTGGAGCGGATCCGACGGAAGCCCGCGCAGAGACGCCTGACGACAGCAAGTCGATGATGAGAATCGGAAGGAGGAAAATCCTGCGGAATCAGCTTGAGTACACAAACTTACGTTCGCATCTAGGGGGAGGTCCGTTCCACCTGCCGTCGACGTCACAGACCAGCTGCGCCCGACCAACAAGAACGAAGCCCAGGTTGCAGCTGTATTGCACCGTGCTCAGGTAATGTGTAGTTCCCTTGGCCAGTTCCAGCTGGCCGTTAGCGGTTGGCGCGGGCCGTCCGCATTCGATGTCTGCAAAACAAACCACAGAACGTCGATTCAAAACGGGAACTTGTTGTCGATGCTTCTATTGCAGCTGCCGCGGCAGTCGCGAGCAGGAAAAGCCATCTAGCTGCGAGCTTCGCTAGCCGTGCCAATTTCAACAAACTCCTGGGCGGAGCTGGTGGTTTAGCTGGGAGTGTCAGATTGCCTCGGGGCACGCCACACTTGCTAACCCCCTTCTGGAATGTTCAGATCATCGATGCTCTCGTCGCATTGCTCGCGAGGAACTGTTTATTTCAATGTTGACGGCCGATTCCCACGCTCCCTCGGATTCAAAATACTGTCACTCCAACGAGCTGTCAGACCCGAGCACCGTATACCAGTACTGTAGGAGACTTTTCAAGATCCGAACCACCGAAGGTTCCCGCTTCTCGGGACGCCGTCCTTCGGGATTAAATCGAAAATCCCCTTCTAGGCAAAGAGTTCTTCATCGTGTAAGGGTTGCTGATTTTTTCGTCGTAGAGAATATCTCTTAGCCCTCAGAAATTGCGGCAAGAGCCTTCTGGAAAAAGAAAGCGTCGAGGACCGAGGCAGCGAGTGCCATTGATGTCAACTGGAGATCAGGCGCCGTCGTCGCTGGAGTGCACTCAGTGGAAGAATTCGCCGATCACAGGAGAATGCCGTGGAATTTCAGGTGGAAGAGCAATATCAGCTCACAGCTCGAGGGATTGGAATGCGCTTTGATGCGCGAGGAAAGACCGCAATTTAGTGCACGAGATCCCCGCCTATTCTCATACACGAGCCGAATCACCCACCGCATGCAGTGTACGGCCTAGCCAACTGCGTTTTTGAAGGAAACAAGGAGCATGGGGAGAGATTCGGAAACTTTGGAAAATAGGAAGTATGAGAAATACAGAAAAAGAAGAACCCGATAATAGATTGAAAGTAAATAATATACTCACACTTGCAGCGGGGGGAATATTCCGAGAAGAATCCGCTCGGGAGACAAGTTCTGATGTTGGGTCCGATTAGGAGATTCCCTGGGTCGCACTTGTATTCGATGACTGATCCCACTTCATAACTCGATGCTAAGACCGTAGAATTCGGTGGTCGCTCAGGTTTGCCGCAGGTCTTTGGCCCTGAGGATCGAGAATGAGTTAATCACGGGAGAATGATGATCGAACGATTATCTCCTACTCAAATGATGAGGTTTGAGAGCATTCTCGAATGAAATTATTCTGGAATGAGAGATCGTAAAAACCAGAGGGAAGGAAGAGAACTTTGATTCGGAGTTCGGGAGTCAAGTACTCACTGTGCTGACAGATGAAGTTGATCTTGTTCCTGCAGTCGCTGTCACTCCACAACCATCCGCGGGAACCATCGAACTTTGCGCAGTTTTCGTCGCCCACAGGGCCATTCCAGAAGGAGACGGTCATGTTACCGCCGTTTAGCCAAGTCCAATTGAACTCATCAGGATCCCGCGTTGCTCCCATCCAGTATTGAGCTCGCGGGTCGGTACGATGCCTTCTGTAGAGCTCCCAAGACAGGAAACCTTGGAGAGCGGGCGAGGTTTCATCGACGAGCGATCCCCCTCGCTCTCCGCAGGTAGCGTTTGCCTCGGCGAAGTCCAGTTGTTGGTTATTATAGAAAATGTAACATTTTCCATTGTAAGTCGCTACCGAGCCGAGCGGCTGATCTCGGAACGAGGGACACCGTTCGACCGGAAGCGCCTGGTCGGTGTAGACGAAGAACTCGCAGAGCGAGAGAGGATGCTCGGGATTCGAGAGGAAATGGACGCTGACAAACGCGCCGGACATTGCGGTGGTGCACGGTAAGAACAGCGGTCTGCCTTCCTCGATGAAACCGGTGTACTTGTTGCAGATAGGATTAACGCCCAAATCTGGACGGTTGTTCCCGACACGGACAACGATGGTGGCGGGGCCTTGGTTTCCACAACAGCTCTGCCCAAAGTCGACGCGGACCAGCTGCACGACATAGGGTTCGAGCAAGTTGACGTACCTGCGGGTGAAGGTGTCCAGGAGGTTAGAGCGCTTGTATTCCCTATCTCCGGTGAAGCACATGATACGTGCGCAGTACGTGCCCTCGAGAAACCCTTTTATGCCGTCGAAGTTTCCCTCAGGCCGTCATAAACGGGTCTCGAGTCTCGAGGACGATATGCGCATCGAGGGAGAAATATCGAGGTTTGAGGTTGCGAGGGGGATTCGAGATTGGACTTTCTCGTTCAGAGACAATCGAAAAAAAAACCAGAAAACATCCTCCTAAGACTTTACAAGCGAGAGGAGCCCTGTTCATGGCGACGCCTCGAAATCAACGTGGACTCTGTGACGCCTCAGGTACAACCATTGCCTGCTTTCGTTTTCGTACACGCACGGCCATCGTTTGCTGCGACCAGAGCGGTGGAGAATTCTCTTCCCGTGTTAAAATGCTGCGGCAGACAGGGACTCCCGATAAGAACAATGATATCACAACTTACCACCAAGGGGTAGCCTCGGATTCCGTCAGTGAGCAGGTGTCTGGGTTGAAGAATGGCGAAGTGGATCCATCGACGGCTTTCTGCGGGATTCCACCTCCCATTGTTGAGGATTGTAGCGGCGCTTTTCCGGCTGCCACGTTGAGCACTGGAACATCAATCATCGATTAATGCGATTCCTCAATTTCTTCCCGGGCGGGAAGCGTGGAACTAGTCCCCATTCAATATTTGATTTCCGATTTAGACACAATCCCTCGTATTTGTATTCATTGTACGGAACGAAAGCATTCCGGCTGCGAATTCGTACGGAATTTCATCGCAATCGAGGTCGATTCCGATCGCGAATGCGTTCATTGTCGAATTCCGGTGCTGCGTTTCAACAAAGCCATTCGAAGAGCCTCAAAGAGGACGGCAGTCGAGCGAAGGCGAATCGACGGGTTCTATCTCGAGTCGAGCTTTTCCATTTCGGGATTCGAGTGGTCAGGAGCGATTGCTTTGGTCGGGCTATCCGTCAGCGAGGATTTCTCTTCATCTTTCGAAGCGTGCTGCGGTGAATCGCTATCTGAGAGCTCCAATCAATCTTGCATCTCGATTGCCTCGTCTAACCAGGAGGTCCGAATGCTTAGCGTCTTTTCTGCCCATAAACCCATCGGTGACTCGTTTGCTCACGTAGACAGTGAGTGAAAGACTTGAACGAGCTTTGAAAGCGAGCTTTTTCTTGGCTCGACATCCGCGATGCGTCACCGGCCGGGATTTTCGAGGGAAATATTTTGAGCTCTCCCGTCGATGGCGATTTTATGCAATAGATCTCTCCCCATCAACTGCAGTGTGCGAATCAGATCCCGGATCTCTTTCTAATGCTTTGATAATCGAAGCTTGATCACCGATAGGGGACCTTGTCGATCACTCGGAGCGGGATCCCTGTGGTTCCACAGTCGAATGAGCTCAGAGCCTCACCTGACGGAGGAACTCGTGACGCCGGCGCGGGAAATGAGCCGGATCCCCGGAACTTGCTCCCACGACAACCGCCAGCGCTCAGAGTTCACCGATCATAAATTTCAGTGTATTACTGCCAAACTGCGAAGATGTTTGTGTACTGACTTCAGGCGGCCGATACCGAGTATCCGCAGTTCTTTCGGCAAGTCGAATACTTGATCTCGCTGTTATAGAAGTGCTCTTTTTATTTGGAGTATCCATGATCTCCGAATCTTCTCATGATCGAGCCTCTTCCCATCGGATCCCCTCCGACGAGCTGCCCACCGCGAGCTTCGGAGAGGGCTGTCCTGCCCGAGGCAGGCCGGGTATCCTTGGAAGAAAATCTCTTCTGACTGTGGTTTGCTCCCCATCTTGTCAGAGTTCCCCCAGATCCTGATCGGTCTCGGTTCGGTGATTTAACCCGATCATCTCGAGAAGTCACAGTCTCCTCAGCTTACGATTCCAAATTGTCAACCACCAGTCCTGTACTATACGTGTTATGAACGCTTATTGGCATTTTTTTCGTGTCAGTGCCAGCGACCGTCTGCGACGCCATGATGCCGAAAGCGGGAGCCATTCACATGGGAAGGTACGCTGGAAGGTGTATTCTCAGTGCAGATGTTACGACGCGACGTTCTGTTCCTCGGTTAGAATCGTCCAGAATTCTACCATTCGTCTGATATGGATTCTTCGTGAACTGTGGTACGTTCCGGAGAAAAATTACTACCATGATGGGACGGTGGTCGTGGCAATAACCTCTTGTCTCGGCCGTCTAGGCGAACAGATGAAAACTCGGAGTGAATACCGGCGGATCCGAATCGTGAGGGCGTTTAGGGGCGGTTAAAAGAATGAAATGGGAAGCTCTTTTCAGATACGTCGAACACGTCGTAACCCATTAAATTGTCAATATTCTTCCTAGTTGAGAGCAGTCTTTCCGAATCAGACAAATTCTGGGGACGACAAGCAGCCGTCAGAGGATGAATAGGGAATAAAGCGATTGGAAAGCCGGCTCGGAGAGGCGTTTGAATTCGGAGATGTTTTTAGGGCATCGTTCGACAATTGTGGGGAACCAGCGCTAGAATTCAAAGAGAGAGAGAATGGAAAACGACCGACAAATCGAGCGTTCCCCCTCAAAGGTATGACGGCCTTCCGATGGCGGAGGGGATCCTGCCATTGACGGTCATGAGAGCGATCACTCGATCCGAGTTTATCATGCCGCAACCTTGGAAAGCTGACACCCACGAAGTTGAATCGAGTTACCGCGTCGTTGCGAGAGCTGCGAATAAGCTGCGCGATTTGACGCCAAACAGAATTGACACCACCGGTCGTCTTCTAAGCTGACCACTCCCGACTACTCTCTGCCAACGGCTGCCGAGTCTGACCACAAGCGACATGATTGCATCTGGAGCCTTTCCCACAATCAGTCAACTCACGGATTCGTCGGAATGTCCATCTACATGGAGAATCGCATGGAGAGTCGAAGGACACTGGACGGAAGAATGGAAAGGGAACAGCTAATAATCCGGTGCTTCCATAAGACTTGATGCGTAATGGGGACGGGACCATTATGATACTTTCTCTGCGCCGCGCGCGATAGAGAACAACCGTATCAATTATGGTTGGTCCAAAACAATAGTCCGAAAACCGCGAGGCGAACGACAGGCGTCGGAAACACCGAGCTACCTGGCCGTCGGAGCCGAAAGTATAATGTTTATACGGACGCCACCGGTATTCACAGCTCTCGTTTGCTCCCTGCTTCCAGAATTCGATTCCACAATGGGATGACGAGTTGCCTCCGATCTGGATGAGTTTTCCGTTGAGAAAACTCGGGTTCATCTCCGTTATTTCGCAGATTTTACTGGAAAACTCCGACCGAGCCCGCGCGAAGATTTCTTCCCCGCAAGGAGCCGGCTTCGAGAGATTCGACGCAAGTGGCCGCATTTTCCTCCCATCATCATCATGGTTGGAAGTACGTCGATTGGGACACTTCTTGGGATGGAATGCTCTTACGAAGAAGAGGAACCAGTTCAGTCGGGATTCTTCGATTCACTTACTAAGAAAAGACCTCGTGTAGCATCTGTGGACAGCGAGTGACCCAGTTAATTCGTCCTGTCTCTTTCTGTAATACGCGTTAAACAAACGTGCGCGCCGATCCGAGAAAGAACGCGATCGGAAGTCGACGTCGGACCAGAACGTCGCGTCTCCTCGTCAATTCCGTGGCTCCCCATGGCGAAGAGCGACGACCAAGGTCTTCTTCGCGGACTTGTTTCTCCCGGAATTCACTCTCATTCGATAAATTTGGAATCGCCCGAGTGCATGTGGCTGTGTACGGGAACTGTCCTGTCTCGGAAGGGACTCGGCTTCTCGAGGAAACCGCCGGGAGGCTTGAAGTCGGAATTTGTCGATTCAAGTATAAATGAACTTTCCCTCGACTAACACCTGTTCTATGAAATTTCCCCGGGATGCGAAAATCGTCGCTGTGCTTTCCGAGGAACGGAGCAATCTTCCATCGAATGAGAGCGAAGATTCAGATCCAGATGAATCATCCTGGACGGGTATTCGATTCGTTCCGTCGAACTGAAGCAGTTGTAGGAGCGATCGTACAGCTCATCGAGAATAGACAACTTCGATGAGCCCGTCGGACGCTCCTGTCGTGGCACGGGACTTGCTCCAGGCAGATATATGTATGCATGTATGTCTGTCTGTCGTGGAAGGGGAACGAGCTCGCATGCATACTCGTACGAGTAAACGCGCATCTGCTTGCTTACGCATGCTTGGTACGTTTGGAAATCAATGCCTCAAGGGTTTTGTGGTATCAAAAGAGCGAAGAAAGCAATCGACGTTTCGGGCCCGTTTGCAGCTTTATTGAGCGGGACGGGTGTGACTGTGCGAGTCGAGATCGCCGCCCAATCGACATTCGTCAATTCATTCATTCATCGCATAGTCTTGGAGACGCCACAGTGTCCTGGCTTATAGTTCCGAAGATAACATCTGGACGCCACGTTACCTATCAAGAATATTCCCCCCAACGCTCTGCACTGAGCATGTGGGTATGAGGTTCGGTGAGCCTCTCTTACATCGTGAATCAGCTCGAATGAGAGAATCTCAATATCTCTACGGGTTCAGACGTTGAATTTTCTCGGAAGCTGGTGGAGAGACTCGCTGACTATCTGTGTGGATTTGGGTTTCCGAAAAAATCGAGGGGAGGGGTTGACCTCGGAAGCAATCGGAGCGAATTTTGAATAAAGCGTGACTCGGCAGAGAGTTCTAGATTTCGTCAAGAGCGGCTTGCCCGTTGACATCGTCGGCACAGATTCTGCGGCAGACATTAATTGTCAAGAGCGCACGCGCCGCTATTCGATGTCTGGGACGCCGCCGCCGACGTCGGTAAACGCCCAGAAATGCAAAACTAATCCCGGGATATCCGGCGCCCACGATCCAAAGAAAGAGAAAGTTGCTTCATTTGACTCTTGTTCGTTCGGTTTGCTGCGCCGGCCGGCCGACGCGGCTCGAATGCATCTACTAAAACGGAGCAGAATTTTGAATATCGGAGTCAGCCTTCTGAACGAACGAGGCGTCGTCCAGGAAAACTTCCATGTGGTGGTGGCGGCATCAGGGAAGAGCTCAATCCGAGCAAAGAATTCGCGAACGAGCGAACCGAACCCACCGGGGAGCTATCGTGTCATCCGTTGGATTGCCAACTTATCGAGAACTTCCTCTTTCCGACGTCTCCGGAGTGTTTGCTCAGTTTCTCGATTATCTTCAGTCATTCTCCATTCAAAGTCTTTATCATTAATTTTTCTGCTTTCATAGTATGTTCTGAGAATGTTGTGCCGGTACCGCCCGTTCATCCGCCCGCCTGCTGAACCGACCGACGCACGGCTCAAGCCGTCTTCGATATTCCCTTCGAGCCACTAGGATTCGAATAAGAGGAGAACACCGCCTGGCGGTGCCGCGCCAGTGGGCTCAGATCGAACGAGCGTAATGCCGCTGCGACAGCCAAATGGCATTTCCGAAGAGGAAAATGGGAGAATCCGAGAAAAAGAGAGAGAGATGGACTTCGAATTGTCCAGAATGACCAGAGCATCTATTCCCGAGGGCTGAAGTTGATTGTGACCATCACTCCTTCAGTCAGACGCATGAACTTGGACAGAGGAAAGATATGGAGACAAACAATTTATCTCTGGTTTGCCCGTACGACTCTTTCTTTTTTCCACGAGCCCTTCACTGCTGCCCATTCTCGTCACACATGTTTTCCAGTTCGATTACGGAGCTGAGCGAGCGTTCGAGAACGCTCATACCGACTACTGGAGTCATCGATTATTATGGCCGCCGTGAGTTTCGAAGAGCGAGCCATAGGCGATTGAGAAATGATTGCCCGAATACAGCGACATGTGAATGAAGTCCCAGTTCTCTCCCCGCGCTCCACAGATCCCCGACGTAGGGAGTCTATTCAGGAAATCATTGTGGTCGAGAGGGATATGGTTGACAAGTTCGTATCTGATAGATCGAGCGTCATCTCGATGCAAGGCAAACGCCCGAACAATGATGGTGCATCGGGAAGGATGGATCCAGAGTTTCCCGGTCGCTCAATTCTTCATCCATAATGATCCCTAATCATCCGGAAGTTTTCTCGAGACCTCTGCATCGATAAAGACACGAAAGCTCTGCAAATGATTCAATCTCTCTAACTCCTCCGAGCACGAATTTCGAAACTTCAGGCTATTTTCCATGAGTGAAGCAATATCGAGAGCACGGAGCGACGGAAGATCAGGGAAAATACCTCAGAAGTCTCAGCCGTGTTGACTCGATAAGCGTCTGAGAATGCTGGGATCGCACCTCATTAAGAGGCTTGAGCCATCAAGGGGCGGCGAGTGAACCCGTCCGCTTTCTTTTCCAAGTCCGCTCCTCGTTTACTACAGCTACCCTTTATGAGAATCCTTATCGATGGCGCGATAAGATCCAATGGTAAAAGCGCAATTTCCCGCCATGAGACCCAATCGCGTGGTCATTTTCCCATGAAGTGAACTCACTGATCTTCGACTCACGCCAAAGGGACAAAATATGGAAATTCGAACACACGAGTGAAAGTCGTTTCGTCGTCAGGTCCAGTGATTCGCAGTCATTATTCAAAGGGTATGCGAATCCCCAACACGGCAGCCTCCGTCTCGATCCTGCGATGACCAGCCCGCAAATCAATCATTTTTCCCCCTATGTATTTCCGAATGGCAGCCGCCTGGTTCGTTTTCATCTCCGAGGCACGCCTAAATTATTCGGAAAGTTTCGTATCATATTTCTTATTTTGCTTTACGCCCGCAATCGTCTCGGTCGCGTCTTGAGCAGAAAATCCATAGTTTTGTATGCGTTGTGCCACCTAAGCCCGACAAACAAACTTCAGCAGAGAAACGTTGTTTAGTGCTAGAACAGCGATGCATTTCGAGTCGTGTGATGTCAAGAAAAGAATCCGCGAGTTCGTGTCTGAGAAGCGCGAAGTGCGAGAAAGCACAGCAGCTCAACCCCGGAATCCTTCTCATATTTTTCTCAATCCCTGATTTATGATCGGGGACCTTCAACGACCAGCCAAGATGTCAAAGAGCGATAGAATCCGAGGAGAGGCGCACAAGATTCTCCGTATTATATTTTCGAGAAATCCCAAGTTGTCCCGATCGACGATCGGTGCGGAGGCTCAGACTTTCGCTTGTAGTAGCGGATTGAACTTTTATTATCTAGGCTCCTGTAGTCGTCGCGGAGAAGTCGTAAGGCGCACAGTTGCTTAAGGGCGCGGTTGGTCCCAATGTTCAGAAGCGTGAAGGGGCGTCAAGATAGAAATCAGTTTCAACAACTGTCACTGGGCAAACCGAACGCTGTTCGACTTCCGAAAGCTGGTCGAGGAACTCATTCTGGAGTGAATCCCACATAGGAATCCAGACTGAGGGGGAAACCAATCAGGGAACCAGCACCATTGGTGGGAGGTGATACTTTTGCGAAATGAGAGGGAATCTCAAATTTCGGAAATTCGAATAGAGCGGTCCGGATCGCATTCGCGTTAGATCAATGTAAAGCCAAGCCTCGGATTTTGTCGCTCAAATTGGATTCAGGAGGAACGACGAGTTCTGGGCAGCAGTTGCCTGCTACGAGCTCAAACGCTCTGTGAGGAAGCTCCTTACAAGTTCGAAGCACACAGTGGAGAAGAATTTTGGCGGCACACTTTAACAACTGCCGCCATAGTGGCAGCAGCTGTTCTAGCCGTGTGTCTTAATGAGCTAAGTGCCAAGTTTGGTTAGAGGCTGTTCGAACTGTTTGAACAAATAGCGAGGATTGTACAGTGCTTAGTCCCCCTCCAGCGTGCTCTGCTTTAATATTACATATACGTATAAGCTCGTAAAGGTAAAGAAAATTAAAGCTCCCCGATGCGGTTCCCGATGCACATGTCGACTCAGACCGGGGTTGCGGAGGGGGAGGGAGGGTGCGGAATGAGCTTCTCGGTAGAGCCAGTCAATCAATTCCTGCGGCTCCCGAGTCTCCCTCGTCAGTACCAAAACGGTCGTTCCCGTGGATGGATCCAACATCTGACCGATTCCTTGTTCCGGCAGCCGGATTTTGTATTGATCCCGCACAGGGAAACAGCCGACTCGATTCCCTCCGAACGAGCGTGTGGGTTCGGAAGCCACGGGAGCGTCAGCGATACCAGAAACGCGGTGGCGGAGGTGGCGGATGTTCGCCCAGAAACGGTTTCATGAACGACCGACGACCAGGAGTGAAAGTGACGGTAGCAATGTGCATTTCTCCCACGGTCTTAGCACGAGGGGGGGCCGCTGCCGAGAACGGTGTTAGGAGCCGGCTGGTCGGGCAATGACCCGTTTGGGAAAATCACCGCTCGTCTGGCCGGAGCCCGATTAAGGAAAACTCTCCATCTTGAATGTGTAAAGGCTCTCCCATGATCATTAGCGGAATTATTTCCGACATCAAGTCCATTTCGATGATCACGATTATCATCGTTATCAGCATGGCTCACAGCCTCAGCGAAAGTTTGATCCAAGTTTGAGTTGAAGCCTGCCATTGAGGAGAAACCACTCGCGGTTTCCCCGTTAGGCGTCGCTCCGGGAAACGAATGCTTAAGCGTCTGGATTGTCGGTTGACTGCGAGGACGGTGAAGCGGTGGAAGCCTTCGAGTTGCGAGCGAGATCGTCGGGCTTCGTCATCAGCTGTCGCTTTTCGAAGTCAAACCCCGTGCAACCGGATCTGAGTGAGAAAGCAAATCCGGTTGCTATGAAATCAACGAGGCGAGATTCTCTTTCTTATTTCGGGACAACAATTCGGCCAGTGAAAGCGGAGGCTTTGCGGAGGGCCGTCTTTTTAACACCCGTTGTCCTTTCGCCTGAACTGAGCGTTTTCGCTCGCTCGAATAGAAGCCCTGTTCATTTCAATTTGAGGGAGATTTGCGGAGACAGTGAGGCACGCGGGAATCCTGATTATTTCAATTTCCTCTCCCAAGCTAGCATGTTCGTAATGTGCCTCTTCAAAGTGAGCTGTGCAGAGGATCCGATTCGAAGAGCCTCGTTTTTCCGCGAGGAACCTCTCGAAGACGAATGCATCGACTGATTCGAGTGGCTCTGCACAGAGGGAGATAAGCATCAGCCTGACTAGCTATGTATCTAGTATGTATACGATTATTTCAGAGCTCGCCCCCGAGAGCCTGTGGGCGCTCCAGGCAGCAACGCCATATCTCGAGGACCCTCGTCTTTATCTTTTGGACTCCCTGAGGTCATGATCCCCTCAACAGTCCCTGAAAGAGACAGCCAGTCACTTGGAGACCATGTTCACGGAGACCTTTCCCGCGATGTTTCAGAGTCTGACTGCTCCGGGTCAAAGCAGCGGTCGGTGGCGAATCGCCTGAATTAGCGAGACCGCGCTTCTGGAGAAACCGATTCCTCATAGGTCTGGAAACAAGGGGCTCAAACGAAGATCCGGACGGATTATCATCATTCTGAGAGGAAGAGTTTGCCCTCAGCTGTTTCCATCGGCCCTGGGGAGCATCGACAGCGCGGTATCGATTCTCCAACAAGAGGAACCGCTAGGACTCGACGTGTAGGTAAAGAAGTAGCGTCGAGAGCTTGTTAGTCTTGGGTAGAGTGAGGAGCGTCTGTTGTCGCTGCTCTTTCGAGGATGTTTGTTCCCAAGCAAAGCTGTCTCCGCCACAAAGGCACCTGGGAAACGGGAAACTAAGCTCCTATCGGGCCTGCGCTCAGACCATTCTCGGATCTCGTCCTCTCCAAAAGAGGAGGTGGACGTTGTGCCGGCATCTCGAAGGACCGATGTGCGATTGCGTCCATGCCTTCCGAACTTGAGAGCTGATTTATTTCGATGCGCGGGATCCCGATTTCGGATGGGGTTTGGAAGAATACAGAATCGGCGGGGCTCCATTGATGAGTAGAATCGGGTGGGAAGTAATTCCGCAAATCGTGTAAATTTGAGTTGCAGGGCGGAGGGAAGGAAGAAACGATGACTCTAATTATCTGAAGCGATAGTCCGTCAAAATTGGCATCCGGTCCGACAGCAACGTTAGGACGCGATCATCTGGCGATATTGAATATAACTGTGGCGATATATCGGCATTTCGCCCGTCGTTCGTTCAAACCTGGACTTCGGTTCCGTCGTCGGAGGTGTGCGCGCAACGGCCAACAGGCAAAAGAACGTTGACCGGATCAGAGTGACCGCCCACGCAAAAAAATCTGGCGCTTCTGCCTAGAGGGAATGACGTTCAATCCAAGAGCGAACAAATTTCATTGTAATGAGCCCATGAAGTTCCACTGGCGAGCTCTCGCACCTTTTCGATTCGCTTGTAGATTGCTCGGCGATTCTTTTCTGACATGGACTTGAAGCAACAAAGCCCGACAGTTTCACGGGATTGAGTCGATGAGGAGAGGAATGAACTCGGAATCGAGTTTTGCCTCGCAGCATCAAATCATCAAACGGGAGAGAGGCTCAAAGGGATTAAACTCACCACAAAACGGTATTCCGCTTGGCACCCAGGTGCCATTGTCGACGCAGCGTCGCGTTCCTGGACCCAGGAGCTCGTACCCAGGATCGCAGTGATACGAAGCAGTTGATCCTACTGGGAGCTCGGAATCCGAGAACGTCACTTCACAATGGGCTGGTGAGCCAGGATAGCTGCAGTGTCCGTCTGTAATGAAAAAGGGCTATTGTCAAACTTGATGAGGATGAGGCGGAGCGATTATTGTTTTCCAGATCTCTCGACGCATCCATTCTCCTCTAGAGAGGGAGGGTAGCTCGCGGTAGCAGGATTCTTCTGTCGAGAAATTCAATCTATTCATGGTAGCCGCAGAGTTTCTATCTTAATTATAAAATCAGTCGCTCGTCATTCTTCCCGTTTCCGACTTGGCCTTGTCAAAACGATTCTGTTTCTGCTGTTCGCCGGAGACATGAATGTCACAGCTCGTAGGGGCAGCCCATATTCTCATTAATGTCGTCTCGGCGTGAAAATGTCACGCGACGCTCAATCTTAGCCCCCTCACCCCTTCGGACCCGGGCTCATCAGCGCAAGAACACAATGCGACCAGGAGCGTTACAACTCGCTCAGTGATTCGGTTGGTATCGAATCGATCGGAGCTGATGGATTCCCGCACGTCACCGTACGTCATGTGTATCCGAATCTCTGGCAGATATCAAATCGGTAGGAGCACGCCTCCGGCTGATGTCCGAGGATGACGGATTCCGGCGAATTCCTCGCCCAGGCTCCTCAGTATCTAGTTCTGATCGTTTCGAACTTCCTCGAAGGGAAAACCGGCTTTCGGCAATGATATCGCGAGTTTCGCCTTGAGAGTCTCGAGCCGCGTTCTCAGATGATGATTGAAGAGTCGAATTCTCACTTCGGGTTGAGTGAAGACTTCCGTGAAAACGTCGAGTCAGAACCGCAAGTCACTTCGGTAAATCTGTCAGGAAGCCGGGATCAGCGGTAGAGCTGGAGACGTGGCCGACCGACGATTCGGCGGTAGCCTTCTTCGCTGCGTAGCGTTCGTTCCCGTTGTCAACGCTGAAGAATAGAATCACAGGGAAGAATATAAGAGTGGGTCCCCAATTGAACGCAACGCTCGTCGTCGATTCTTACTCTGGGGACAGTTTCCTTCAAATTGAATTGTTTGTCTCAGCGAGGGGAGCCCAGCCCAGGAATGTCCCAGAAAGAATCATCCCGCCGGCTTCCATGAGCAGTCGGCGAACGAGCCCGCTACTTCAATCGACGAAGCAATACAATGATTTTCTATTATGAAATGCTCCGGCGGATCGTGATTTTGATGGATACGAGCCCCTTCGGCATTCGCGAAGCTCGCTCGCTCCTGATGTCGATCTTGCTCTCCTCTCACTGCTCTGATATCGATGGTCCGCCCCGAATTAGGGTAGTTACTGCTCATGAATTTATCGGGGATCTGCGCCCTCCAACACGGCGGAACGTCTGGACCCTTTGTCGGTAGGCCTCGTCTCCTCCTTCGGAACGCTCAGCTGTTCTCGAGTCAGCTGTGCGGGACTTCTGATCCGAAGACACGTGCCAGTTTGCCGAAGCGAACGGGTTCCGTATTTGCTGGCAAATTTCAATGACAATCGCTTGTTTTCCGGCCAGAGCATGGATCTCTTCTTCAGGAATGGAGAAGCGGGAACAAGAACAGGGTCGCGATCCAATGCGGCCAAAATGACATTACGCCCAGCGTGGTCCGAAAGACATTGAGTTCATCTAAGACTTCCATAGCGCCAGAGTAAGTCGACTTCGCTCGAGAGAACAATTTGCATTCACTAAAGCAGAATACGTGCTCGCCCTTCATCGCACCGTTCTCGTCGTGGAGGAGGGAAAATTCCACCGTTTGTTTCAGCATCTGAAAATCGACGGCAAAATCAACAGTGAAACCGGTGGAACATGAAACATACGGAGGTCGACTTCGGCTTAGTGTGGTCCATTGAACTACGATGCTTCCCGCGCTCCGGTGTTCCCGTCCTCCTTCAGAAGACGACTTCCCGACAGTTGCAATAGCTCTGGATAAAAACGGAAGCATTTGACAGTGACGTTCGCAGGATCTCTCTCGGAGGGGGCTAGTTCGGGTCTTCGAATCCCGGTCCGATTCTCTTGGGCCTGTAATGCTGAGCTTTGACGATATCCCTGGGACCGATTTCCCCCTCGAAAGGGAAACCCTAATGCCAGCGAAATCATTGAAAATCTCACAGATAGGTGAAATATGTATATACGGATGAAGAATCGATAGGACCTTACAGAAGCCCCCCTCCGAGACGTCCAGCGGAGTACTGTCCCATTAGAACCGCTCCAATCTAGTTTGGGCGTCCCTCCTCCGTCACGAAACACGGGCGCGATTGCGCTTATGTCAGAGTGCCAGAGGTCGCGGTGACATCAGTTTCAAACATGTTGAGCTTGTTTTCTCTGTGTGCGTGCCGCTTGAAGTGGTAGACCACAATTTTGTGATTTTCTGTGAGAGCGCGACGAAGATCTTCCAACGGCCGCTTCCGTGACGTCTGTGTCCGCTTGTACTGACGCCACCGACGTTGCCTCGTCGTCGAAAACTGCAGAAGACGATGAGCTCAACGAGTGACAAGCGTGAGTTTACTCAAACAACCACTAACGGTATCGAAGTTGAATGGGATGTTTGGACATTGCGGACCTGTCAACGCGCCGTCAGATGCGGCCTCAAATCACCGATCTGACTCGGTTTCTGCTCCGTTTTCGAGTCTTTCCTCGGCTCAAAGCACCCGCTTCTTGAGCTTCGGAAGTTCCTTTCGCGTCGTTTAATTATAGATCGCTCCTCATCGAACTATCTATCCGTTCCCCGGATCGTCCATCCGTCCAGCCCTGTATCGGTCGGTCGAAGCCGTCGTTCGTCAATGGACGCGGTGTGCTCCAGATCGAAGGTAATCTGATTTTCAATATTTGCTTGTGCCTCCTTCCCGCAGAATGTTGATTCTACACACTGGATTTTTCCAGAGGAATCGACGTTGTCTCTTCGACGATCAAGTAATGGGAAGCCTCGGACCATATGGAACGACCGTCATCAGGCCTGAAGCGGAGACGACTCAGATCCGAAGTTAGTGCTGTTCTGGGAAGGCACTAGGGAATGAATGTTCGATGAGATCGAGATGATGATCAATTAGCGAAGTTATCCGCTGTAGCATCCCTTCCCTTTTCGAATTTCACAGACCTCTGTATCCTCCACTGATTCAGCCCAGAACCGTGCGAGCTGCCGCCTCGTGTCCCGATCGGGTGGCGTCTGGGAAATACTGCTCTCATTCAGGAAGTAATACATACTACATAGAACCGTTCGGGTTCAAATGTTCGGTTACGAACTTTGATTGACGAGGAGTCGCCCGGTCTGAGACATCGAGTTCTGATCCGGGGAGGGTTGGGAAACGACGACAGGGATAGGTCCTTATCCGGACTGCTCTCGGACGTTTTTCGTGGAACTGATTTTTCCGGTCTTCTTCAGCATACGACGTACTGGGCGAGGCTAAGATAGCGGATGATCTATTTCAGACGGCAAGAATCGTCCAAAGAGACAAATCGAACATATCGGACAAGTAGAGGCGTCGTTGTCGTGGCTGTTTTAATTACAAAAAACATCTGATAACCAAGTTGACGTTGATGTGCTAGTGCAACCCTCGTCTCTAATGAACGATTGGATGAGAACCGTTTGAATGACTCGAATCAGAGGATTTAATACTTTTGCAGGAAAGAAGACAAGGAAGCGACGGGAGTTCCAAGAAGAGGAAACCTCCGGAGCGGTCACATCCGACTGGAAGCTGTTCCCGTTTCCGAATCTAGGTATGTGTGTCTCTACGTGGAATATGTACAGTGGGGACTTCGCTCGTCGTCGGAGTACTTCTCGATTTTCTCCGCAATGACGCCCGGAATCCAGATATTCTGCGTACAAGATCTCAAAAGAATATTTATGTCCCTGTCTCGATCGCTCGCTTCGACGTCTCGAGCGTTTTCGATTGCCTCGACGGCTCAGCAGATTAATCGGGAAGTCTCCGGAACGTCTTCCGTCGACTTTTTCCATCCGTCTTCGCCGAAGCCGTGAACTCGGGCTCGACGGATTCCGGATAGGATCGGCAGAAATTTCTACAGAAAAAAATAAGCACTTCGCCAAAAGAGTTCACGTTTGCTTTGTCATATCTCTGTTGGTGTGAGGGAAATTCCTCTGCAGGAGAATTCTAGTTGAATCGTTCATTCATTCGTTGGTCGGTTCGTTTCACGATTCCGTTAGTTAGACGCACTGATGTCTTAAGAGTTCTGGAACGATTTTTTTTCGACGCTCTTCGCCGCTTTACGTCCAAAACATCTGGAGCATAACAACGTTTCGTAGCCCACGGTAAGCAAGACGATGCCGAAACAAACGTCGGAACGAAGACGACCCCGAAGTTTTCGGAAAAGCTTTCTTTGAACAAATCTTCAAGCTCAAGATGATAAGTCTGTTCTGAGTGAAATTACTCGATAAGGTGACCTTTGCAGATGTAAGTCTGGCAGCGACCATAGGGTGTCAGTCTCGGTCCGGAATGAGGAAACGTGGAATCTTCACCAAAAAAAAGCAAACATGAGGACTTCATTCTGATGACGTGTTTTCCAGAATTTACCCTTCATCTCCAGATGGCTTTCTGGGACTCCTCCGGACTTCCAAACAGATGCTTTCCACGATTACGAGAGGAGGGCGTTGTCCGAGCGTTTCGTAAACCATAAGGTGATTCAATAAAGTACCGTTCCTTCTTTTCTCCTGAGGATCTAGGATCGAGCTTATTCTACGAGAACTCCGACTAATAGTTTCGGAGTCTTTCGGAAACAAAACGATTCCGACGCAGTGACCTAGAACGACAGTCTCGGACGAATCAGTAATCTCTGATGGAAGATAAGCGGACGCGAAATTTATCAACCGTTTAAGGATGCTTCTGTAAACGATAACTTTGTTCGGTCGCTGTCGGGAGTCAGATCTCTCCGGGGGAAATATGGAAATGGAGAGAATTCTACGGTGTCTTTCACCTTCGGCACGAATTCTCGAGGAAGACGATGAAACTGGAATATGATCGCGAACGGGCCCTTGGGAAATTGTCAGAGAACGTCGTCCACATGGAGTCCAAGAGCATCATGAATTTGGAGTCAGACGTGCAGTTGTCGAC